ACATGGTGAAGAAGTCGATCGTTTAGAATTTTTTGATGAAGAATATATTGAAAAAACAATTAAAAAATTTTCTAGTGATACATCATCAAAAGATATTAAATATGTAAGAGATCAAATTACTTTATTTTATTATATTTTCAATTAATATTTGTTTTTATATAATAATCTTAATAGTCTACTTTTTCTAAAGCTATCGCTGTTGGTAATCTTGTTAAAAGTGCACTTGGTCCAAAGGGCATGGTACAAATTGTTTCGTATTGATTATTTTTATGCATGAAACTTGTTTTTTTTTTCAGGATAAAATTCTTCGATATAATATGAGTGGTGAACTTGATGCAGATAAATTATTAATAACAAATAATAGAACAATGATATTATCAAAAATTGGTGTTGATAATCCGGTAGTAAAAGATCTTGTTGGTATGTTTTTTTAATATATTTTTATTTCGATGATTTATTGTTTTTAATTAACAGATATTTCAAAAGTACAATATGATGAAGTTGGTGATGGCTCAAAATCTGTTGTTGTTTTAGCTAGTGAACTACTTCGAGTATGATTTTTTTTTGTTTTGAAATTCTTTTTATTGAAAATTTTTTTGATTATAATAGGAAACGGAAAATTTACTTGCACAAAAAATTCATCTTCAGACGATTATTACAGGATGGCGAAAAGCAACTAATGAAGCGCTTACAATTTTGGAAGGTGTTGCTAAAAATAATAGGTATGAGAGAAGATAATTAAATAAAGAAAATGTTGTATTTTATATTTATTCGATTTGTTCAAACTTGGAACAGTTTAAAAGTGATCTTATGAATATTGCTCGTACAACACTTAGTTCAAAAATTCTTCAAGAAAAAAAAGATCATTTATCGAAATTATGTGTTGATGCTATATTAAAAATACATGTAAATATGTTCATTTAACTTAATAAAAAAATTAAAATTATCTTGTTTAGGATAAAACTGATTTAAAACATATTCAAATAGTAAAACTTTTAAGAAATAATCTTAATGATTCATATCTTGAAGAAGGTAAGAAAATATTTATTGTAATTAATCAAAAAATAATATTTTTATTTTTATTTCTTTTCAGGTTTCCTATTTGGAGAACGTATTGGTACGAATATGCCGAAACGTATTGAAAATGCTCGTATTTTAATTGCAAATATACCAATGGATACAGATAAAAGAAAAATATCTGATTCATCTGTGCATATTGATTCAATTGCTAAACTAGTTCAATTAGAATTAGCTAAAAACGAAAAAATAAAAGATAAAGTTGAAAAAATTCTTCAATTTAGTTGTAATGTTTTTATTAATAGGTAGAAAAAAAATGCAAATTATTTTATTTATATAGAACATTTAATCTTTCTAGACAATTAATTTGTGATTATGCCAATCAATTATTTGCTGAAAAAGGTGTTATGACTATTGAACATGCAGATTTTGAAGGTTTAAAACGTTTAGCACAAATACTTGGTAAAAGAATAAAGAATTTCTTTTTTTTGGTTTTTTATTTAAACGAAAAATTAATTTAGATGCAGATATTGTATCAACATTGGATACACCAGATGAAATACGTTTAGGAAAATGTATTCTTATTGAAGAAGTTATTGTTAATGAAGATAAACTTATTAAATTGTCAGGTACTGGATTTTTGTGTAGACAAAAGAAATTTTATTTGCGTTGAAAATATAGGAGTAACACAAGGTGAAGCATGTACAATTGTATTACATGGTGCTACACAACAAATTCTTGATGAAGCTGAACGATCAATTCATGGTGCACTTTGTGTTCTATCTCAAACAGTTAAAGAACTACGTATTTGTTATGGAGGAGGTTTATCTAAAATAATATTTTATTTAA